AATATTAAAGCGATGTTGACAGAATTATTGGATTCTGAAGTGCATAATGAGTTCTTAGAAGCAATTAGCATTTACAATTTTATAAAACAAGTCTTTGTGAATAATACACACTAAATCAGTTCCAGAATTCAAATGACTATTTGACACTATTTGAGTTGAGATACTGAAGCAAAGACAAAGCCTATAACTGAGGATGGAGACTGTATGTAGCGCATGCTAATGAGAAATGCTCTGTGAGACTCCCACAGGAATTAAAGCTACTGTATCCAATGCAAAAAAGGGTTCAGAGTCGAAATGTTGCAGAGAGCAGTGACAGTCATTCAGAATGTTAATAAATAAACTTTTAGGTGACAAGAGTGATAAATGCTAAGCTCGTACACTTCATAAATATTTAATAAAATGGCACCAGACTATATATATTCCAAACAGTCCGATAATTGCTAGAGGACCAATGCACTTTAAACCCAAATGACACTGTCATTTTAAAACAGTCTGGAGACATGATGAGTAGCAATGTCTTTTTAATTTCAGCTATTATCAAAAATATATATCAGCTACTGAAGACACAGGTCCACATGAACCGGTATCTAGTCATTTAATAAGCAGAACACGTACTCTTGTGCAATAATTCAAATAGAATTAGAATTGTACATATAATCTATGCCTGTACATATGTAGTTCCCAAACAGATTAACAATATTTTCTAAACAGAACCATACAAAGACATTACAAAATGTGTATAAAATTGCATATCAAACATTTTTAAAAGATTTAAGGGTAGGATTCCTTCATTCGTTGTCTTTTCAGTACAAGTGATCATTATTTCAAACATAGTGAAAGTATGATTATTCTGAAAGCATAAAATTGGAAGAAAGAAATGTCCTTGGGGAACAGACCTTTGTGTCCGTTATATGCTGTATAATTGCTGCTTTTCGCACAACCCTTTGACATACTCAACAGAAAAAAAAAACAAGGATGATTACATGTTCACAAAGACAGAAATCCCTTTAGCGGGTTTTGTAAACAGATTTCAACAAAGCTTGAAAGAGCAAAAATGTTGTTCCTTGATTTCTTTTCAATTATGCTTCAAACTCAAAAATGATTGATCAATGCTATCTAATACATTTTAAGGACTTCAATGAACAACAACAATAACAAAAATTCAATATACTGTAAAAGTAGCCTATGCTCATTTCTTTAGACATCGAAATCCTCCATTTAGAACATTAATGCAGAAAGTAGAAGACATAAACAAACCAGTTCTTCATATCTTTGACAATTCAGATCAACAAAAAGAAATCAATGTAAACAGTGTGACAGAGATACATTTACATCAATTCACCACAATTATTAAACCTTATTTAACAGTGCATTTCAAACTCCGGCTATTGCATTCATTACCCATGTACATTGGAAAAACAAGCCAGTGACATTTCAGCAGAAATATGTTACGCCACTTTTAGTAGCCACTGCACTTTCAAAGTGTGATGTTCATCGACTAAATCAGGATTGATCCTTAGATGAATCTGGCAAGCTTTAATCGATGTTGGCTGTTGGATGTTTTGCAAAAGTATGGAAAAACTGTGCAGTAAGCATTTTACTTAAAGGTTAATTCTCAATCATATCTGAAAATAACACACTACCTACATCAAACCCAACCAATAGTGTCAAAACCAAAAATGAGATCATGACGCATCTGCCATGACATTTTATTTTGTATCTACAGCTCTTTTGATTGCTTATTGAATGCAGTGACGTTTGTTTCATGTCAATGCTGTCCAAAATACTCAGCAACCCATGTGCAATGTGCGAGTTATGTGATGCAAGCATAAAAATTTGTTAGTCTACAAATCATGCTAAATATGAACTGCCCATCCAAAAAATAATAATAATAAAAATAGAATTAACTAACTACGCAAAACTCAGTGGTTAGCACTGTCATCTCACAGCAAGAAGGCTGCTGGTTCGAGTCCCAGTGGAGCCAGTTGGCATTTCTCTGATAAAGAGATTAAGCCGAAGAAAAAATGAAAGAATGAATGAATGTTTCAGTGAATAAGTTATTCAATGTAAACTGAAGCAGAGAGTAGGCGAGAAGGTCGCTGGGTCGCCGGTTCAAACCGCGGCTCAGTTGGCGTTTTTGTGTGGAATTTGCATGTTCTCTCTGCGTTCGCGTGGGTTTCCTCCGGGTGCTCCGGTTTCCCCCACATTTCAAAGACATGTGGTACAGGTGAATTGGATAGGCTAAATTGTCCATAGTGTATGAGTGTGTGTTTGTTTGTGTGTGTGTGTGTGTGTGTGTGTGTGTGTGTGTGTGTGTGTGGATGTTTCCCAGAGATGGGTTGCGGCTAGAAGGGCATCCCCTGCGCAAAAACGTGCTAAATTAGTTGGTGGTTTTTTCCGCTGTGGCGACCCCAGATTAATAAAGAAAAATGAATAAATGAGAGAGTAGAGAGTAGCTTTTATTCCTAAGAAGACACACCCTGTAGTTATGGAAAAGATGTTAATCTGTTTCCGAAGGGTTGAATTATTGGCCCAATTAGGTTAAAAACTGTACAACACATTATTTAAAACTGGAAGTATTAGGTAGTGCACTTTAAAAACATTCATGTCATTTTGAAAAGAGAAGAATTTCTTCCTCATGACGAAAGCTATAGGTGACCTATTATTTAATTATATTAGAATTTATCATATTTCTAATTAGAATTATTAGAATTTATCATTTTTAATTATAATTTTAGAATTTATGTTATGTCTCCAAAGCTTGTGAAAAACAGCATACGTTAATGCTTTTACTTTATAGTATTTATTTATTAAGTATCTGTACTGTATATGACATGGGCCTGTTGGTTAGTACATTTCTGTAGTGGTTTGCATGTGTCAAATTTTAAAAGTACACATTTAAAAAAATAATAAAAATAAATAAACAATATCCTACTTAAAAACAACAACAACAATAATAATAATAATATTAATAATAATAATGTTAATACCCATTAATATTATTATTAAAGTAGATTTTTTTTCATTTCCATTGATTTTATGTGAATTTAGAATAGACTATGGAATATTCTCAATAATATTACTATATATAATTACTATATATAAGGAAACACAGGCACTATATGAGCCATTTACATATATTTCAATTAATATGGAAAACAAGTGCATATTTATACCAAAACTTATATTGGATTTTTTAGTTTTTTTTAATGCGTGTGCGTGTAAAACAATATAATTTGTACAAAGAAATTATGGGGTTCTTCTCTAAAGAAGTTGTTACTCCGCCCCATATAGAGTGTCATTATGGATGTTTTGCATTATAACTGACATGGTTCAAACGATGGATCTGCGACAGTGAAACTACGGGTTTTAAGAAACACTTGTCACTACATTGTTCTTTTCCCAAACAATGCATCGTACTATGATAGTTCAGCCACGAGTTGCATCATTGTCTGGGAAACGCACCCCTGGTTGACAAAAAAAAAAAAAAAAACGTCTGTTGAAATAAAATCGTAAAAAACAAGTGTAGAAGTCACGACTATGCTTAATAGTGAGTAAAAGCATTTCCACTCACAATGCAAAGGGAACTAAATGATTTGAATGAATCAGCTGTGTAGCCTTCAGAAAACTACTTCTCGTCGAGGCTAATTGGGGAAAAATCTTCAATATCCCAGGGAGCATAAAAATTGGAGGTCATGTGTTCTGATGAGTCCAGATTTATCCTGTTAGAGTGATGGGTGCATCAAGGTAAAAAGAGAGGCAGATAAAGTGAAGCATCCATCATGCCTAGTGTCTAGACACATAAGCCTGTGAGGGCAGTGCAATGATGTTGAAATGCTGCAGCAATGTTGGGTGCCCAAAGAATTAGGTCAGCTGACTACCTGAATGACCAGTTGATTCCATTTTTTTCCTCTGATGGAACGGGCATATTTCAGGATTACAATGACAGGACTCATCAGGCTCAAACTGTGAAAGAGTGGTTCAGGGAGCATGAGACATCATTTATACACAGACTGGACTTCACAGGGTTCAGTACATAACCCTATAGGGAATCTGTGGGACATTCTGGAAACGACTTTGAACAGCAGTCTAACTCTCCCATCATCAATACAAGATCTCTGTGAGAAATTAATGCAACTATGGACAGGAATAAATGCTGTGACAGCGGAAACATATTGAAACGATAACATAGCAAATGTGAGCCATAATCAAAGGCAGTCCAATTGAATATTAGAGTGTGTAACATTAAATTTATTTATTTTTATTTTTTAAATGGGCAGCATATTTTGTGGCCATATTTTGCAATGAACAGTGTAAAAAAATCTCGCTTATGATATTCTGCACTATGCATTACACTAAAAACAATTTATATGGGCTAAATTTTAACAAACATATTAAATTTAGTAATGTTCAACTTAATTTGTTTAATTTCAGCCCAAATAAATTGTTTAAAACCACTTACCTTAAAAAATGTAATAAAATACAATGAATCATCTTTGAATTATTTTTTTTGTTCAGTGCATGTAGTAGGTATTTTAAAGAAGTTTAGCACAAAACTATTGTAGAAGTGTGTTTTTCCAAATAACTATATTGGAAGGAATCCAAATAGATAAACGTAGCAGTATTTAATTGAAGAGCTAGTGTATAAATACCATGTCATTTAATGTGTATAAATACCATGCAACATTTAATAAGACACTTCTAGTGTGGTGCATGAGTTATTAGATTACTTTAAAACGCATATGTGTGAAATTGCCTCACAAAATAATGTTTCAGTTTTAATTCATTGCTTTGATAATGAGTGATGTACACTTCATAAGATGCATTCAGGCTATTTAAATGTTTTTGGATAGCAGAACATAAAAAAGACTATTAGTTTTGCTATGCTCATCAGATTAATGGACATTCAGACCCAATTAGCTCAAATAGGAAGGAGACAATTTGACATTCTTACTGAAGCTCTGAGCAATTAGAGCCAAACACAATCTGCGTCATGGGTGTCTATTTTCTAAGGTCACTTTTATGTTTCATTTTTATTTGATCTCAACGCATTATCTTCACATTATTTCATTTCTGTATTATTATAATATATATTTAAATGAAAAAAGACAGCATTCCTGTTTAACATCTTTTAACAGAAAAAAAAATATTTGGAAAAACTTGGTAAAAAAAGTGAGGTTGATTTGCTTTTCAGAGGTGTATGGTGTAATATAATATTTTGTAAATGTATCATAGTAAGGTTTCCTTGTTTTAGTGATAGTGATTGTTTTCTAATGTCATATAACAGTTTCTGGAAAACAAGACAAAAATATTCATCATGTACATATTTTGCAGTGAGTAAACAAAAAAAAAAATCAAGTTTTTTTTTGGTCTAAAAGCAGAACATAGTGGTGCAATAAAATCACTGAAAGTGCAAGAACTGACATCTTTGTTAAATGTCATAAAAAACCCATGAGAGGTTAGCAGCCAATCAGTACAATCTGAAGAATCATAAAAGATAAACTGAAAAAGTTATATTTAGCAATTCCCTTCATGTATTATATATAATAAATCTATGTACTGGCACAAAAAAAAAAAAAAAAATCTGGGGCTTTTTTCCCAATTAAAAAGCATAGTGTAAAGGCTAGCGTGTAATGTACTTCCAGTGCCAAAACACAATCTGAAAAAAAAAAAAAACAATTCTAAGAGGCACTTTAGCAGAAGCAGAAACAAGTGAACAACAAAAAATATATATCATCTACTAATTTCAAATATAAGTGCAACTTCATAGTCCGTGTGCTGCCTGCTTTCAGTAATCATTTCAAGCCTACCTTTCATACAACAGTTCTTTTAGATGTCCTGTTGTGATATTTGGGTGTAGTGAAGTAATGCTGCATTCACACCAGACGCAGAAGAAGCATCAAGCGCGAGTGATTTACATGTTCATTCAATGCAAAGGCGTAAATAAACATCCTGTGGCGCTATATCCACGAATGAGGAGGCGCGAATGATGCGATTCATGCAAATGAAGTGGTGCGAGTAGAACTCAAGCTCGAAAATTTGTACTTCTGCGCATAACAAAATGCCGCGTTAACCAATCAGGAACTTGCTCTTTGATTGATTGGAGTGATTATGATGTAGTGCTTGTTGTTAGGTGTCCAGGAGTAAAATCCTACTGCTGACACAGACAACAGTTCATCAAACTGGGCTCGGCTCAGTCAGAAGCACCGCTGAATGCTTCCATCATCCAGGTATAGTTTCTGAAGGAGTTGATGAACTCACAGACCTGGGTGCACCTCTGAATGGATTTAGTGGACTTAGACAGGGCTCCAAACGAACTGACGCTTCTTTTTAGTCCTTCTAAAGCAAATAAACACAGCTATTCTCTCAATAAAGTCCATGCAGACAGAAGCCTCACCCATGATGCTAATCTGCGTCTATTGCTCAGTAAATTTCACACGTGAATGAAGCTAATTTGATGCACGAATGAAGCGAGTAAACTCAAGATGTTCACACATCTATTCACACATGAATATCGCGATTTATGCACTTGTACCGCGTCTGGTGTGAACACAGCGCAAGTCTTAGAAACTTGATTCAGGCACTGCCTTCTTTCTGCCCAGTGAGTTTGTGCTGTAGCGTGTGCGTTGTAAAGTGCTCTGAGAGCCCCTGTCCCCTGTCACGCTCTGTGGTTGGGCCACCGATGTGCCGTTTCTGTGTAAAGATGCTGTTCTTCTTAAGCCTAGATCAGTTTTGCTTTGAATATTGGATGAGCTTTGTGAGCGTTTGATGTCTGAGGAACCACGACTCACCTTGCCATTTGCCAGTTCACTTCCGTGCCTGCTACCATGGTTCATAGTACTGACTTTACCTTCTGGATTTTTATTATGTGTCCCGTTGGAGAGGGAAACTCCAGATGGGCTCTTCACCCCTGAATCAGCCTTTTTGACAGAATCATTATCCCGAGACTTCCGAAGGGAATCCTTCTTGATAAAGCCACCTTTGAGAAAAGCGAAGACATCATGACGTTTAGTCTCCTGCCCTTTTTTATGTTTATCCTCTGATTGGTCACGCTTGTCACTCGACTCATGCTTCTGTGCTGTTTCCCAGCCACTTGGAGTACTACAACTGGACTGGATCCCTGCTCCAGAGCTCTTCCTGGAGTGTGATTGGTCCGGTTTAGATTTTCTGCTGCTCCGTCTGGTCAAGGTCCCTTCTTCTCTTGATCTACTGCTGCTGGCAGGTTGTTGGCCCATTGCTTTCTCTGAGCTACTTCTTTCTTGACCCTGTGGTATTTTCAGATATTCTGGAGGTCTGAGGCCACTGTGGCTGGAAGATTTGGCTGTTTTTTTTGCATCGTTGTCTTTGTCTGAAGGTCGAGTCATTAGGGAAACAATAGGGTCTTTGGTACATCTTGGTCTCCTCCCAGACTCTAAATACTCCACCAGTTCTGCAGGAGACTGCTCAGAAGCCGGCACAGGTTTGTGGCGGTCTTTATTTCCAAAAGACCATCGCAGTGGGAGCACTTTACTCTTGGTGGGACTTCTCATGCTTACACTACGACCTTGGATTCCTCGCACAAAAGGTCTGCTTTCAAACCCACCTAAAGACACTGGCATAAACGCAAATATTCAGAACATGGTGGAAGACACTTGTCCACAACAACAAATGAAGAAATAATTATTATGAAATCTATTTAAAAGGTCGTTGAATTCTGGTTACAATCACAAGAAAAAAAAACTTTGTGGTTAAACTGACCTCTTTCCTCAATTGAGGGTTCATTTTTAAAAACTGGTGACTCTGGGGAGTCAGCGATGGAAGAAGGGCATGTTGTAGAAGACCGTGAAACCATACTTCCTCTTTTACTGTCACCATTCAAACGGATGAGCCAGTGATCTGACATCGAGGAGCTGGTGGAACCTGCACAAGGAAAGAATCAAGACACTTTAATGACTGATCCATGTTTCTAGACATAGGCAGAGAGTGTGCTGCCCCTCTCATTGCCCCTTGATTTTTTTGAAGTACTGTATTATGGCTTTAATGATCACCAAGTCACACATGCAGCATGCAATGGCATCTAATCCAGCATTTAGGATGAACTCAGTGACTCAAAAAAAGAGAAAAGTTCTTTAGAGTTACATTTAGCAAGCCAATGTGTCATATATTGTCTAAACTATGTTTTCCAACTCCTTCATAGTTATCAACAAAACTAATTTACCTCATTTGCCGATCATCTTTGAAAGCCTTCACTGGTGGTGTTCATGTAAATTATTATTCTTTATAATCATAGCTTTCATCCATTGGCAACGATGAATTACCACAATTCTTCCATTCATCGTTCATGTATAAACACTGCATCAATATTTTTAAATCAAATCAATTCAAAAATGAAATGGAGTCAATAAGTATGAACCCCAAAATACTCCTGATTAGAGGAATAAAGGGCCATTCATTCATTCATTCATTCATTTTCTTGTTGGCTTACTCCCTTTATCAATCCGGGGTCGCCACACGCGGAATCAACCTCCAACTTATCCAGCAAGTTTTTACGCAGTGGATGCCCTTCCAGCCGCAACCCATCTCTGGGAAACATCCACACACATACTCATACACTACGGACAATTTAGCCTACCCAATTCACCTGTACCACATGTCTTTGGACTGTGGGGGAAACTGGAGCACCCGGAGGAAACCCACGCGAAGGGAGGGAGAACATGCAAACTCCACACAGAAACGCCAACTGAGCCGAGATTCGAACCAGCGACCTTCTTGCTGTGAGGCGACAGCACTACCTACTGCGCCACTGCCTCGCCAGGGGCCATTCAGATATCGCACAAATATGGAATGATGCACACTTTTTTTCTAGGCATGTCAACAGTACAGCCAGTTAGAGAAAACATCTAAATGATTCAGAATTATGCAAACTCACTATAAGTCATGTGACAAGAAACAACCAATCAGTTTTACACTCTCACTGGAGCATGAGCCCAGAAGCACGATGAAATTAAAGGAAGCTACACACCTCATGCTTTGAATGTCATTTTAAATACAATATGAGATAAAGAAAACTGGCCTATGGATTCACAAACCATTCAGTCATTCAGTCGCAAGGGCTCTGCCAAGTGCCCTCACAGGATCTCACACAAAATAAACTGATAGCTGCTTACACCCTCTACTGCACGCACTATGATAAACATATAAATGTAATCTTTTCTTAGAATGGCTTAACTTAAGCTGTAAAAATACAAGAAAAAATCTAATATTTTAAACTACTTTATTTGTTGCAACAACATCCAAAAGTAGATGTAAATTTAACATTTTTAATTTCCTTCTAATTCTCTTAAAATTAATGATTGTGTTGTTTGAAATATTGCTTGTGTTAATTTCATTGGTGTTGCAGTATTATAAGCTTTAACACAGAACTTATAAAGGACACCTTATACATACTTTCCAACAACTTTTATTCCAACAGCTTTTAATTTTCCATTCTTATTTAGCTGAATATTATTAAAAACAAATACCATTTTGTATTATCATGTATACAACATACAGTAGGTCCAAAAAAATATTATAACATGTATTAACAAACCTAACATATCACGATGCATCAGAATAATGTAACACTGTTTGTTATATTAGACCTGTCTCACTTGCCTCTGAGCTATCATACCTGAACTGTCTCCACTGTCTCCCAACTGCTCTTTTCAAATGTCCAATCTGCATCATTGTCATGGTCACTTAATCCTATCTGATGCTCACTTTCATCTGCAAGAAGAGCCAGTTCTGTCCTTTTCTTCTTTCCCTTGCCATGGAACATGGTGTTCACTGATATACTGTTCCATGTATTCATATCTAATCAAGTAACATTGCCATTAAAATGTGATTTTATCTATAATGCAAATGTAATTAACATGACTAATTAACATTATATTACTAGTGTCAATGTTGTTATTGTTACAACTTAAAAGGTTACAGCTGATCGTGCTAGCTCGCTAACCTATTCCACATGGCAACACATACATTTAATAAATGTACAAAAACTTTATTTCATAAAAACCTTTTTGAGTGATAAATATGTCATCATGACATAACAAAGATGATGTCTCCGATTTCTTTGTGGATGTCACATGAGTTGATCCTTTGCTGTTATTGATGCTTTTGTTTGCATTCAGCAACTACTCACATTAGATTAGCTAACTGCAATACATGTGACCTAACCACAGCACATCCTTGGCTAAACTAAGGTCTTCTCTTTCCAACAAAAAAAATTAGATTGTTTGTCTTAAAGAGACAGCGGCAGAGAAGTGAACATAAAGAGCATGTTGCCAGAGGGTTAAAGATTCCAATAGTTTTAAAGTTCAAGTTTTGTCCTCTCATGACTAGCTAAATGTCATAACTAAATGTCATAATGTCATGATTAGACCATGTGTATCACAATGTTGTAGCCTATTATTCTGCTTGTTACCCTCTACCGCATAGTGGTGCCGTGTGACAACATGATATTTATGTTAATTTCTCTACCACTGTTTCTTTAAGACCACAGTTCAATTTCTTTTTGTTAGAAATAGAAGACAATAGTGTAAGATAGTGTAGCCAATGATGTGCTTTGGTTAAGTCACATGACCTGCAGTGTTTCTCTGTGGCGCGATTTCTGACAGACTCGGGTTCATTGTGAGTAGTTGCTGAATGCAAATGAAAACGTCAATAAAAACAAAGGTTCAACTCATGTCAGAAACACAAAAAAATCTGAAACATCACCTTCAATAAGTTATGATGGCATATTTACAACTCCAAAAAGGTTTTTATCAAATTAGTTTTTCGTAAATCAATCAAATGTATGTGTTGCCAAATCGTCCCCTTGGAATTATAAGGTTCTATCTGCGTTCTAAATAATTTCGAGATATTGAGCTTTAAAGTTTTTGCAATCCATATAGCAAACAGTATGTGTGTAACATTTGTTTTTTTGAATAAAGAGTCTTAAAATGTAAACAACTTTATAAAAAAAAAAAAAAAAAAAAACTCCCATAATGTAAATAAGTTGTCATTTAATAAGAATATGTCAATAACTCAATTTTGACAAAAAGTCAGATAGAACTTATAATTCTAAGGTGACGAAATGGCAACACTGTCCAATGGTGGAATGTGCAATATTGCAATAGGTTAGCTAGCTAGTAAGGTCAGCTGTGATCTTTTTGTTGTAACAATAACAACATGAATTCTAGTAATATATTGTTAATTAGTCATTCATCATTCATTCATTTTCTTGTCAGCTTAGTCCCTTTATTTATCTGGGGTTGCCACAGCAGAATGAACCACCAACTTATCCAGCACGTTTTTTTACGCAGCGTATGCCCTTCCAGCCATTTCTAGGAAACATCCACAAACACTCATTCACACACACACTCATACACTACGGACAATTTAGCCTACCCAATTCACCTGTGCTGCATGTCTTTGGACTATGGCGGAAACCAGAGCAACCGGAGGAAACCCATGCGAATGCAGGGAGAACATGCAAACTCTACACAGAAATGCCAATTGAGCCGAGGATCGAACCAGCGATCCAGCAACCTTCTTGCTGTGAGGCGACAGCACTACCTACTGCGCCACTGCTTCGCACCGTTGATTAGTCATATGTTAATGAAATTTGCATTGTGGATAAAATCTCATTTTGGCAATACTACTTTTGATTAGATATGAATACAGATAACAGTGTATTGGTAAGCCATGTTTTATGGCGAGTGAAAAAAGACAAAGAAAGAACTGGCTTTTCCTGCAGATGAAAGTGAGGATAAGATGGCTTTTAGCAACCATGAGAATGATGCAGATTGGATATTTGATGAAAGCAGTGATGGAGATGGTTTAAGTAATGTACCATCTCCATCACTGATGGAGGCAGATAAGACAGAACTAGTATAGTATACAGTATAATATATACTGTAAAAACATTGTTAGCTAGTAGCTACATTATTCGGGTGCATCTACATAAATTAGAATTGTTTTATTTGTTCTAATATTTATTGGAGAAAATATGTATACTTTCTGTATGTTGCATACATGATAATAAAATTTTAGGTTTGTTTTCAATTCAGCAAAAAGAATGGAATAAATGAAAGCTGTTGGAATATCAGTTGTTGGAAAGTATGTATAAGGTGTCATTTATTATTAAGTTCTGTGTTTAAGCTCATAATACTGCAACACCAATTCAATCAAAACAAACAACAAAATTATTAATTATAAGGAAAGTACTAAATAAGATTTTTTTTATTGTAGATCCACTATTGGACATTGTTGCCACATGGTAACATTTCATAAAGTACCTTAAAAAAAATTCTTTTTTTTTTTTTTACAACACTTCAGGTTAAGCCATTCTGAGAAAAGCAAAACAATCAAATATATATTTTAATAAATGTATCATAATGCATGCAGTGCATTTGTGGCCTCAATGTGTTATGCTGCCATCCTGTGGGGGGTTTGTTTTCTCTCTCTTTCCCAATCATGAGGTCACACACATGTTGGTAATTACATGGCTGGGGCATGCAGCAGTGGAGGACAAAGAGAGACTGTGTCAGACACTACCTGGCTGAGGCTGCTTGCAATTGATTCTCCTGCCCCAGACAATCTATTGTGCCATTTATCATTTCTATTTTTGATTTTGGTTTAACTTTATGAGAGCAATAAGGAGGCGGAAGCCAGTTTTTGTTTGCAACATTTTTTTCTCCTGCTACAGAGGGAGCAAGGTATGATCTGTTTTTTTTTTTTTTGAGAGATTAAAAAGTTGCTTCTGTAATCTGTTAGATCTTTTGTTTGTTGTTTTGTTATTTATTATTTATGAATCTTTAAATAAATGTTCTTTTTTGGACTTTGCACTTGGTGTGAATAATTGTTGGAGTGCTGGAACAGGAGAAAGGTGGTGATTG